AAATACTATAAATTAATGATTTGGATAATGAAAAACAATTATGAATAGTTTTTTTATAGTTATTAATTTAAAAATTTTAATGTTTCCTAGTAAGAGACATTTGACCTTTGTCCTTGTCTCCTTCTTTAGAAATCTATCTTTAGTTATAACTGATTTATTAGTTATAAGTATTGTTTATAAGATTCTTTTAATGTCTAGAAGGTATTTATTCTATATTGGCCTGGTTAGAAACTTGAAGAATTGATGTTGAATCCTATAGCCTTACTGTGATTTAGGCTTTTTATGACTTTTTCTTTTTTCTTAAAAGTTTTATAAATCAAATATAGGAGTTGTAGTGAAAAATATCTTTTTCTTTTAATGCTGATCTTGAAAAATACTTTCTATTCTATTTTTTTAAAGTTTGTTATGTCTTTGTTGCTTGACTGAAAATATCTTGATAAGTTTTTTAAGAAAATTATTAAAAAAGAAATTTTTTTTTAAAAAATATAAATTAGTAAAAAGAGTTTTTTTATAATATTTATTTTATTTTTTATATTTATATTTTTTATTTATTAATATATAATTTTTTATAATAATCAATTAAAATTATTTAAAAATAAAAATTTGATAAAAAAAATTTTTTTAATAATAATAAAACTAATATAAAAAAATTTTTTTTTAAATCACAACTGATATTAGATATAAGTACTTTATTAAAAATTAACTTAATATTTGGATAATAAAACCTAAAGCTTAATATCAATAATTTTATATAAACTATATATTTCTATATATAGTACATACAAATTAATAATAACTTATCATGGTTTGTTCTAGGTAGACTTATCACTCTGTGCGTAAAGCAAATTTAGTATAGGGATTGAATAGTCAAATATATAAGTATCGATAGTGAAACAGGCTAATTTAATATTGAGTTTTTATAACTTTTTATATTATATTCACTAAATTAGTTTATATATTATATGTTCAATGAAATTTAATTTTTTCTTCAATATTTTCAATTCAAATCTCAGAAAGAAATACTTTACTTTCTTTATCACCACTTATGATATCAAATTAATTCTAGTTGACTAATTTTCATTTAAGTGGAGTACTATATTGAGATATTCTAGCTAGAAAGATAGAGATTCTAGAGACTACTAAGGCAGGAGGTCTTTGGAATATTTGTGGTAGATTAAATTAGAAGTCTTTTTTCATATAATCCTTTTGATAATATGATCATAAATCCTAGCTTCTGATTAATAAAAAATCAGAAGTTTTATTTTTATATAGCCTAATCTAATTTAAGCTTGTTCTAGATAATTGAATATGACTTTTATAGGATAAAGGATAAATCTAATTAGAAAGGTAATTTTAATTTTTGATTCTTAAATAGTATTGAATCACAAATCTTGTAATTGTGAATTGGAAACATTACCATTGTACTATTGATCTATAGGTTTTATATAAAAAATTTTTAAGAAATAAAACCAATATTAAAATATGATATATATAAATTATATAATTTTTAATTATTTTTATTTTTTTAAAAAAAATTCTCTATTAGATTAAATATATATATATTATATATTTTATATTTTAAAATATTTTATTAAAGATAAATTTTTATCTATTTTGTTTATTTTAGTTTTATATTTTTCTAAAACTTTAGATATACAGTAACTTCAAAAATAATTTACTATTCTATTAATATAGTAGTTTAAATAAAAACTTTTTCAACTTTTAACTTATTATCTACAAATTACTATTGCAAATTACTCTACAAGATTCTAACAAGATTTAAAATCCAATAATTTTATTTTATATTTAATTTTTTTTATTAAAATTTTCTTGAGATTTTTATCTTTTAAGTTTTTTTTTTTCTATTAATGACTTTCTTCTTATTAAGAATATAGTTTTTAAGCTTAAAAGATATGAAGGTTTTTTAATCTTATGTTATCTATAAATTCTCTATATTTACTTTTATTCAATTATTTTTTTATATCTTATGTTTTATATTCTTTTTTGAACCTGGTTATAAATTTTTTTTTACTAAATTTTTATTTATTAAAAATTTTTATATTATATATATATATATATATTTTCCTTTTGTCAGGCTAGTTATATATGCTTTATTAAACATTTTGTAAACTTTATATATCAGTATAATGTTAAAGCTAAATCTCTAACTAACTCACTCATCTTGACTATTGTTACTCTAAGTGCAACTTCGGGAGTGATTTATCACTCCACTAATAGTTCAGGTAAATACTCTTCCAACTATTAGTATCATTGCCTGCAGATTACTACTGTAGAATCTTTATATTATATTGATTAACATTATTAAAGAAAAAAACCAATTAATAAAAAAATATTTTTTGTTCTTAAGATACAGTATATACAGTATATATAATTTTTTATAAATTTGCAATATGTTTTTAAAATAGTTTTTTTAATCTTTAAAATAGAATTTGTATCCCACACTAATAGTTTCTGCATATAATATAAAATTAAGATATACAGTAGTTTAATATAAGGGGCTTATTAATAAGACTTATTGGTAAGTTGAGAATAATATATCATTAGTATATAAAGCTTGTTGCTAAACTAATATGTTCCCTACCATATATGGAATATGAATCGATCCATCTGATCTACCTATTCACGAGGTAATAAATCAGTGCTTGTCGCAATTTAAAAAAATTTTTTTTTCTGTTATGTAAAATTAATCATTATAAATAGATCTGCCGATCTATCTCATGTCAATTAACGATGGATGATTTTGTAATGACAATTGAAGCTTCGGAAGAGGAGATAGTTGAAGACGAATACTCCTCGGATCAGGAAAAAAAATCAAAGAGTGATAAGATCTCTAAACAGAAAAAACAATTAAAGAGTAGCAAGATCTCCAATATTAATAGTAGTATAGACAAGGTCAAAGTCGTGCAGAATGGTGTAAAGAAAAATGAAATTGATATTATAAATCCGAATTTTACTTTTTTTGATGGTTCGAACTCGCATAGTTATGTTGAACAAGATTGGGATTTTCAGGCAGCAAAAGCAGGGTTAAGAGATAAAATTCCTGTAAGTTGAACAAACAGCGGATTTTATTGTTTTTATTTGACTGATATTAATACTTTTAATTAAAAGGTTTCTTCAAAGACGATTGATGAAATAATTGAGAGTAGGCGAAAGGATATAAAGAAATTTGAAGGAAAGAATCCTAGTTCACGAGAAATTAACGGTCAGAAAGAGACTGAGAAGTCAAAGAAAGGTATGACCGTGGAGTTGGAGGGATCTTGGTGCAACTATGTGTTGAGCTAACCCATTGTAAATAAATAAATATCATAATTCCTAATTGAAAGTAGAAGATAGAATCATCAATGGAAATGGCGTTGAAGAAGGGGTAGATAAGAATTCAATTTTTTCGGAAGAAGAAAGCAGGATTCACTTTGATGAAGACGATGATCATTTAGGTGAATTACGCATTTTGATAGTTGAAATCATATTTTATTTTATTTCAAACACGATTACAAATGTGCGTATGCTTAGATGACGGTTTTGGTGCTGAGGCTCAGGAATTTATTGATGAGGAAGGCAGTTTAAGTGAAGGCGAGATAGAGACGGAGCAAGAAAGTAATCATAGTGACTATCCGAGTGATCAAAATGTTAGCGATGATGATTATTCTGATGAAGAAAAAGAAACCGAATATGAAAGACAGGTTTGGAAAACCTTTTATCGATATTAAGATTGAACATCATATATATATTGTTTATTTATTTGTTGTTATTTTTATACAGCGTAAGAAAGAATATTTTGCTGATGCATCAGAAGTGGTCCCGAACAAAATTGTTGAGTCATTTCAAACAATGAACCTTTCCCGACCTATTCTTAGAGGCCTTAGCAAATTGGGATTTATACAACCTACTTTAATCCAAATAAAAACGATCCCTATAGCACTTATGGGTAAAGATATTTGCGGGGGAGCTATAACAGGTTCGGGGAAAACCATCGCTTTTCTAGTTCCAGTAATGGAACGTTTATTATACAGACCGAGGAAAACCCCCACTGTGAGAGTATTAATTCTTGTACCAACGCGCGAACTGGCCTTGCAATGCCATAGCGTTTCGACTAAATTAGCAGAGTTTACGGATATAACGAGTTGTCTGTGTATTGGTAAGTGAAGTTGTTTTATTCTCAGGTTTTCTAATTTATAACCTACTCTGGTAAATTAGTTTTTTACTATCAGGTGGTCTAAGTCTCAAAAAGCAAGAAGTTGAACTCCGCACACGACCAGACATCGTAATTGCTACCCCTGGACGATTGATAGATCATGCGCGCAATTCACCTTCTTTTACACTGGATACTATTGAAATTCTAATCATTGATGAAGCTGATAGGTACATTAATGTCATATTATTAATGGATGAATATTGGTAATAATCATTTCTGTATTTTTTAATCAAGAATGCTGGAAGACGGTTTTTCTGACGAATTGAACGAGATCGTTAAAAGCTGCCCCAAATCAAGACAGACAATGCTGTTTTCTGCAACTATGACGGATAACATCGATGAATTGATTCGACTCTCTTTAAATCATCCAGTGAGACTCATGATTGATTCAACCAAGGCAACAGCCGCAAAACTTATCCAAGAATTTGTTCGAATAAGGAAGCATCGTGAAGAAGATAGGGCCGCAATGTTACTCGTGTTATGCAAGCATATATTTCATCATCGAGTCATAATATTTTTAAGGAGTAAAGCAATGGCTCACAATATGAGAATTATTTTTGGATTACTGGGATTAAAGGCTGCAGAGTTGCACGGTAGTTTGTCACAGGAACAAGTGTGTATTGGATTATTATTACAAAGTATCCATCACTATATTACTCATTATCTAACTAGTTTATTCGTCTATTAACAGCGATTGGGATCACTAGAGGCATTTAAGGATGGAAAAGTAGATTTCTTGTTGGCTACAGACTTGGCTTCACGCGGTTTGGATATAAAGGGAATTGACACTGTCATAAATTACGAGATGCCACAAAGTTATAACCATTATGTACACCGTGTTGGAAGAACGGCTCGTGCAGGGCGTAATGGAAGGTATGAGATGGCTCTTATTATAAAATGACAATAGAAATTGAAATTTATTTATTTATTTGCATTTTTATAAATAGATCGGTGACTTTAGCTGGTGAAGCGGATCGTAAAATTTTAAAATCAATAATTAGGAACACACCCAAAGATCAGATCAAACGTCGTACACTCGATGTTAAAAGTGTCGCTGAATTTAGAGAAAATATTGCCAAGTTAAAAGAACAAGTTAAAGAGATATTGCAAGAAGAAAAAGAAGTCAAGATTATGAGACAAGCCGAAATGGAATTACAAAAAAACCAGAATCTTCTGATACACGAAAAAGAAATTTATAGCAGACCGGCAAGAACATGGTTTCAGTCTGAGCAAAAAAAACAACTATCAAAAAGTATTGCAACAGGACAATACAATGATAAATTTGAATCTGAAGAATCAACCAAGAAACGAAAACGAGAAACGGATGCTGAGGAATTAAAGAAGTCAAAGAAGAAATATGCCGGTATGTCAAGATCAAAGAAGCGTCGTATACAAATGAGAGAGCAAAATGAAGACAAAACAAATGAGGCTTCAATTATGAAGTCCATTAGGGCAGCAAAAAAAGCAAAAAGACCAACCAAAATCATTAAGATATTACCCGAAAAGTCACTTAAAGGATTATCGAAGAAAACTACTAAAGTTAAGAAGCCTGGTGGTAAGGCAGTTTTTGACAATGACTTGGCAGATTCTACAAAAAAGAAAGCATTCTCTATTGTATCAAAGAATAGTTCAAGTAAAAAAAAAAAAGTAAATTAAAAATAAAAAAAATAAATGATTAAAAATTGTTTTTTTAAAAAATAATTATTTTTTATTTTAAATTATTAAATTCTCAAAAAAATAATAAAAAGTCAAAATTACTTAAAAAAATCATTTATAAAAATAGATTAAATTAATTATGTTTCAAATATAAAGACAAGTTGATTACTTTGTAAAAGCTTATAATTTTTATAGATTTTGTTTTAATTTCTCAATAAAGACAAGCTATTTTGACATAATTATAGATTTTTTAAAGTCCTATTGACTGAACTTTTATTGATTCAGATTATGAAAGATACAAATTGTTTTATAAGAGTGATTCCTATAATTTCTAACTTATACTATTCTATCTATTTCAAATTTTATTCAATTTTATTTATTATAGATACTATTTTTATCAGTTGCTCTACTATATCTGAACCATTTAGTTTTTTGAGATTATCAAGAAATTACTATTTTCAGAAAGTTATTGTTATTATATAAAATTGTTCTATTCATAGTGATCTGTTTTTTATGGGATATAATTGAATCTTATATAATATACTTGTTATGTTCAATTCTCAGAAATAGTTGTTCATTGATATTTTCAATCTCTATTTAATTCCAAGCAGATCTTTCAACAGTTATTGATAAATTATATCAATAACCTAAGTCTTTCAATAACTATTCTTAACTACTTTTCAAATCTAACCTATAGAAGTTTTTTTTTTGATCAAATGAAACCTAGAATCTCTTCTAAACATTTCTGTTCCTATAGTTTCTATTATGATTATTTGACTTTATTATATATTTTAGTATCTATAGAATTATACCCTCTAATAATATTGATAATTGATAATACTTAAATCTTTTATATTATTCAACTCTTATATTTGTAATTAATATATATAACTAAAGTTTTCCAGTTTTTCATAAGAATATTTTATTGAAAAAAGATGAATTTCATGTAAGCCTAATAGAATTATAAGTCAATTATTATTTTTTTTGATATTCATAATATCTTTATATATTTTATTTAACAGAATATCAAGACTTCTTATCTTGGTACTAAAATAAATCAATATCTATATAATCTAATTTATGAAATCAGGATTAAATAATATAAATTTTTATGATTAGTTGTATAATATATATATGAGAAATAAAACATATAATTTTGTATAATATAATTCAAATTGTGATTACTATTCTTAAGTATAATTGAATCAGTAACTCACAAATAATAATCTGGAAGTATACTTACTACACTATTAATTTACAAGTCTTATAGCTAAACTATATTAATATTTAACTTATAAAATTTATTATTATTATTATTATTTTTTTTTAAAGTGCTAGTTCATTCCTGTATTAGTTCTAAAACTTTATTAAAATCAAGATGAATCCTAGAAACAACTGGAATAAATAATTATTCATACTGTCTAAGAATTTACAGATCAACGAATAATACAAGAGACATCTATTTACATCTCACCTAACCAAGATATGTTAACTATGTAACCATCTAGTATAGGACTACTTTTTTTAATTCTAACTTGGCTAAGAATTTGAGGAATCTTCTATTCAATTTAATGAAGTGATCCACCAGATTATCTTTTATACTCCGAAATAATACTTTCTAGGACTGTGGTCTATCAGATAACTCTGTTGCTATCCCCTTATGGAAAGCTAATATGTCAAAAATTTGTCTAAGATACCTAGCATTATCAATATTGGGGATCTCTTATACAGAATCCTATTGGCTCTATTAGTGCTTCAAAATTTTCTTGTAAAGACTTGTTATATATGCAATATCTGTCTTATTACTTAATTAAGGCTGGTTTTGTGTCAAGAATGTTATATCACTCAGTTTTTTTGTCTTATTTAAAGCTTGTCTTGTACCATTTTGTTGACAGGTTCTTGTCTTGTTATAGGCATGTCTAGTCATTTCTATAAATGATTGGACCCTTTTTGTCTTAGAAAAGGAAGGGCGATCAATTCATATTCAGGATATCGTATCACTTATTTCAAGTTATCTTGAAACCTTATATTATGTTTTGTCTTATTATGGTTATAATAAGCAGATGTGATCCTTATTTACTTCTTGTTCAGGTACTCAGGAACCAATTGTGTGTTAAGAATTCATATTACTCATATTAGCCTATATAGAACCTTGTGTTGATTTTCTTTTGTTCTCATTATAAATATGATAAGCAAATGGGTTCCTCTTATTGTCTTTATTGGGACACTTGATCATTATCATAGGGAAGATAAGATTTTTATATTATCTGTAGCTTAATTTTTACTTAGTCCTCATATGGTATTGAACTCTGGACTTTGTGATTGTGACCTAAAAGTACCACCACTTACTATAGACCCACAGATCTAAAATTTTTTATTATTCTATTAATAAATTCTTTTTATATGGTATATAATATATTTAATAAAAAAAATTCTTTTTACTAATTCTTTAATTATATATAAAAAAGATATTTATAGAAGTTTTTCATTTTCTTGTTAATAAAGTCTTAATATTTTTATT